TATTCGCATATTTTAAATTAACCATCGACTGAACGAAATACATGAATTATCGCGTATCTTAATCGTTAGCTACATACTAAAAGAGAACTTAATCTTACGAAGCGCTGTGGATTGTTAAAAGATCATCGGTAGTAGAGGCTTATCCGTGGAGTTTGAGTTTAAATAAATCTCAGATCCTATTATATTATTATTATATATTCAATGATAAATATTTAAAACCGGATCCAAACACAACTGGAAGAAGCAGCGTAACATCATTTGATTTTCTCTAATGCATACATTACTTGTTGATATATTTATTTGTATACTTGTAAATTCTTACGTAATCAGATTCGGAATATGAGTGATGAGTGAGCTTACTGTGTTCGCCAATGCTCCCTTTAGGCTGAATTCAATGATTGAAATCTTTAAGTTTATTTTCAGCTCTTCGATGATGGAACTTTTTTAGATTAATATTATAATAATTCACGTTCAGGAAAATACAAAAACATTGTAGTGCATGCTTACAATTGCATGAAAACTGTTAAATGTCCAAATAACCTCGATTTTTTGTCTATTAATTCATTATTAAAGTTTGCCAACATTCTTAAAAGCATTCCATATTGCGTTAAGCCATTCCATGGTTCATAATAATTTTTTTTTTTTTTTTTTAATCTTTATTTTAGAGATTTTTAGCCTGAGGCTAGTTCATCTCTTAGGTTCATAATAATGTATTTGTTGCAATTCCTATAAAATATCAAAAGTTTAAATCAGTTGAATGTATTGAGGTTAACTAAAATCGAGCTTATTTGTATTTTGTACCACTTGTTTATTTTACATTATTCATATTTTATATACTGCATGACTAGTAAATTACTTTTATTTCACATGTTTAAATCTGTAACATTTATAGAAAATAGTTGTCCTGCAGATCCTGATGGACCAGAAGGTGTATCAAATAGCATATCATACCTTTTATTTTATTATAATATAATATGATCTATGGTTTTCAGAATTTGGATTACCCAGAGAATCAATTCTATACCATCATACATTGGGTCGATGTTCTTAAATTGTTTTACCTTTGCAGAGTTTTGTTATTTGAAAAATTATTCGTGGATACTTGTTTTTATAACTCTTGTATGCTCAAATAACCTCGATTATTTAGCAAATTGATTCTTTACTTAAATAGTAGATCCATTAAATAGGCAAAGTTGAGTTCAATCATACCTTGCAATTAAAATATTCATATATAGCATGAGTTTAAAGAAATTGAGTGACGAAGATCGAGGTTGTTTGTATTTTGTTATATTTTATTAATTATAAATCGACGAGGATCCGGAATTTTGACGTTTGTGTTTGAAGGAGATACCTGCGATGGGTCCAAGAAAGTCTATGAGGAGGCCGGTTGCTGTTGGTGCAGCTCCACTTGGTTATTTGAGGTGAGATCATTCCTTTTTATTTATTTATACAGTAACTCCTCCCTAAGACTAGGGGCACGCCTTTGGAGGGTGTTTCAACACCCCGAAGGGTATAAATAGCGGGACCTTTCAATTAGAATCGGATCCTTGCGATAAATGCAAGAATGACAACTGTACAAACAATTTCTCAACAGTGACGAAGTAATATGACATGCACTAAACTAAGGACACGGGATATACTATAATAGATCAAATTACTGGTCGCAGTAGTGTTAGCTAGCAAAATAGTTTTGGAGAGCGTTAACTCAACTTTTTCACAACCATTATTCAATTTGTCAGTCGCACTGAATAACATCAGCCAATAAACGCTAATGTCACTTCTATGCAACTATTAATCAACTTTCAACTTGTAGCTGCAAAACAAAGCTAATGAAGTGAATACATAACTCATCTAATGGGTTCTACACAACCAACCACTCTTGCTGAATAACATAAACATCAAAAGTGCTCTTTCAACAACTAAGCAACCTGTAGTCAACAAATCAACTGTGTTAGAGCTACTTTGGAAGCATTTTTACAGTCATCTAGGTTTATTTTTAGACGCGTGCAGTTTTACACCTTTTACTCCGCTCCTTTGCAAAGCTGAAGTAACTAGTCGAGAAAAGTGATACATGAGCACTATTATAAAGCCGCTACTCAGTGATCTTGTTGTAAAAAGTCATGTAGATGTGTTTACGTCAGTTCAAAGTGTTGTCGTAGCGAAGTTGGTAGTGTCAAGGTTTGCTAATGTGGTCGTCACGAGTTCAATTCCAGATTCCGGCAGGGTAAAAAATTTAGTGAAGTGATGTGCTCATTTATAACTAATTTTGATTAATTTGATTCACAGCAAAATAAACTCAATAAATTCCTCAAAAAAAAAATAAAAAAAAACTGTTAAAAATATTCAACCCGGCTTCAAGAGAAAGCTGTGTAGTGTTTATTGGATAACCGGGAAAAGGTTGAATAAGTGCCTTTCAAATTCACACACAACTAAATAGCAGGATAACCGCTGTATAGAGGCGTAAATGGACATACAATAAGAGCTTGTCCCAAACGTCCCAACAGCCATAAGTAGCTGACTAAGTTCGCCAGCTTTGCTTGTATATAGGTTGAGTAAAGGTTACCTCATATCGTATAACGTTTGAATAGGGTTTTTGATCTAATTTCCGTTCTACTAAGCACAACCCGCGCTTTACCTCTCTTTTCTGAATGAGTTTAAACAAAAAATAGAATATTTCTGTCTAAGATGACTACCAAATTTATTCCCTTTTCTATACGTACCGTTAGATTTGATAAAGAGGCACGAATTGTTAAGATGTTGTTTAAAATATAATACTGCTTCTTGAGTCTAAATTCATTCTACGAGTTTCAATTCCGTCCTAACGCATTGAAACACCATTAGATTTTCTTCGTCCTACGGATAAACGTAGAAAAAGGGGATTCGCTAGGAGCGCTTCTTTTGTTTTGAGAACAATGAGCGTAAATATTCATACAATGCGCTCTAACAGGATGAACTAACGCATCGGAACAAACCAGTTATTGATTTGTACACGGTGAAATCATTGATATTATTGATCTTTTCTGATCGATAGAACGGAAATGGGCGATTACGACGAAGTAGCGCTTTACCCTACAGCTTGAGGCTGTATAAATGAAATGAGTAAAGCGTTTACATTGTGAAAATTGTTAGTTGGGTGATGAGTCGTATGACATAATAATAAAACGTCTTTGCGCCTACACCAAGATTATCCTCAACTTCTGGAAATAAGTAATCCCCGAAAGTTTTGGAGCCTCCATAGATGACGAAATCATAGATAGCTTGCCCTAGCTCTCACGAAAATCTTGTAACCTCATTTCTTAGGCTTATTCTTCAAATATTGTCGCCGATTGACCACTTTGTCAAGCAGTTTTGGCGTGACTTTCTACCAGTGATTTCACAAAACTGGACCAACTAATTTCATTTTTTTTATGAAACGCACAAATGTTGGCTACTTTTCTCGAGGTTCTAGAAGAAAAAATCTCAAAACAATGTTTTATTTCAAAGTTCGAGTGGTAGTAAACGTCATTTTAAGTGCTCGAATAAAGTGGTTAATTGCCAGCCATTTTTTCTTTGTAGGGCACCATCATTCATCAAGACCACCTTTTTCATTCGGTATTTTTCTAAAATTCGTCTGTAGTTTGTCCAAAATTGGACAAAATTTGAAACCCGGATCATCATGTTGCTTTGTGTTGTCTGCAAAATGTAGATATTTTCGTATTATTTATACTTTTTCAGGGGCATGATGTTTTTGACCTTATCGTAACCGATTGTTGTGCTCCAGTAATCGGCATAAGCCGGAAGCTGACAGATTCCTATTAGCAACTCAACTGATTAACGCATGAACCTTTCACTTGGACCGAGTAAGCATTGGAACAACGATATATTCAAATATATTATCGAAAAAAAAAACATCTTGAAGTACTCGAGATGCGTTCGTATCTTGGCGGGAACTTCAAAGTTATCTTCTGAAATTTCAACTTCGTAGGAAAACTCTGGATCAAAACATAAGGATCTTTTTCCTGAACATCTTCGTTTTAATAATAGTTCTTTCGTGGTTCTCTGTCTTTTTTTGTGAGTGTGCTGGGAATGTGATATTTCCGTATCATTTTCAGTTCCAGTTGGGTCGTTTTTTTGTATATGATATGATGTTTTAATATATTATAGTGGTATTAAAACAAGATGTACGTTTAAATAACATTTTAAGATAAAAGCAAAAGAAAACTATTATGGAAAATGTTGAAATCTAGGATGTATGTAGAAAATATTTATAATCCTCATATAAAACGTGGGATGTTTTCTGCATCACTTAAAATAAATTTATACAACAAGCCGTTCTAATTATTTTTCAAAAAGATGTTTTATGTGTTACTTGAGGTACTACTTTTGAGTAAATAAAACGAACAATATGTTGGTTGCTTTTCTCATCAACAATCTGGACCTTTCGTCCATTATACTTTTTTGTCCCTTTCGAAACTTTTGTCCATTCGACCTTATGTCCATTCAACGTTTTGTGCATTTCGGCCTGTTGTCTCTTTCGACAGTAGGCTATTCGACCTTTTTTTCGATTTTGACGTTATGTCATTGACCTCTTTGAATGCCCAAGTATTAATGCTGATCATTGAAGTTTAATCAAAATATAAGTGCTAGAACCTGTGTACATATCCACACTTATACAGCCATTCCATAGCAAAACAATATAGTGGTTCTCAGAATTTTGTAAAAAATGTAGTTTTATTCATTATTGCAAAATATTAGACCCGTATATTTTTATTTTGTCATTAGGGTGACCATGTAAGTGTGGCCCAAAAATTCGATTTTTTTTCCAAAAATTACTTTTTTCAAAAATAATATTAATATTTTTTTATTTATTTTTAAATATTCTACCAACTTTCTAAATAAATTTTCAATTAAAAATTATATATTATGAACGATTGCTTGCAATAACATTGATGCACCGACAAAATTACCAGTGCTGGCAACAATGAAACGTAAAGTTGCATGGCTCACATGGGATTTTTGGTTCACTCCCAGTTGTTGCTGCATACCGCTTTCGTTCCTAGTGCATGCTGCGAAAGGACATGAACCCGATGGACGATAATCACGTTGATGACGGTGATGGCGATGATGACGATGACAGTGCTGTTGGTATAGATATGAAAGGGTCGAAAGAGGATCGCCAAGAATTAATACGTGGCTCAACTACCACTACAACCCACACTCCACTTCGACAAAGTAAAGCATGCATCTTGAACTCAAATTCTCTCTGACACATCGCTAACAATGCTCACAGGATAAAGAGCTGTTTTCTTGGTAGCTTGGCACGGTAGGTGGCTTAAGCTAGTCGGTCATGTGTCCGTCGCTCTTAAAGAGTGAGCGCCCGTAGATTTTTGGAGCCCTTTGTTTGTGTACATCCTGCTCTCTGTCCTGCATCGAAGCCCCCACATTACATAAAGCGTAACTAACACATTAAAAATATCGGCTGTCTAAAAATAATAACGGGCAAAAAACAGTTTATGCACTTACACACGCCGTTGGTGGTGGAGTCTGCAATTCAGCACCACCAGCTACATCAGGGGCAGTAGCTAAAAAAAAGTTGGTGTTGAGGTTCAGAACTTTTTTTATATTTTTAAATAATCACGCTAAGTATCATCGACATACAGTCACACATTGGCAATGTATTTTCCATTATGCCATTGAAATGAATAAGTTGTATATATGTGCATTGGAGGGAAAAGAGAAAAATGAGATCCAACACATAACTTTTTTTGGGGAGATTATTCGCGTCATGTTGTGTTAAGGTGTGTGGGTTAAACATTATTTTTTGAAAATTTGAAATGTACGCCAAACAATACAGACCTCTGGCTATTGTACATAGGTTTTCCACATACCGTACGGAGGGGAGACATCACAAGACAGCTGTTGATTAACTAGGTGAACATTATTTGAAATCGAGCTTTCCGCATAAGCCTTTGACGAGGATAACTAGAGGATCTAGTGATAGTTTATGTTTTCAACATTGTCTAATAATATTCTAACTTTCTGACTGCAGAGAAAAACTACACGATAAATTTACACGGTCGAAACAAATTCACTGCACTGAACGGTTCAATTTAGGTTGCTTTTTCGTGCCGATGACTCCTTATGGCAACTTTGGCAATTTCGAAAACTAGTTTCACGAAAAGGATTTTTCTTTGTTTCCTTTTTATTGTGCTTTGCCTTTGCATTCAATTTGACTTTCTGGAGGCAGCGGCAGCGAATTGTGGGGGAAAAACCACATGTTGATGTGGTTAATGCCGGCGAAAGTTCAGATTATTGCACGCTAGATTGAGTCCAGCTCTTGCATCTCGCGGTGCAGTGACGATGCAACAGAGGAACTATACATCTCGGAGGTGCAGTTGATGCATGGGCAACTATTTGTGCACCCTTTTGACAGATCCCATACTTATGACTATTGATAGTCTCCTGAACATAGTCTTTATTGCTCTCCATAAACTACGTAGATAGTTTTTTTTTCTTCTAATTTTTAAACCTCTCCCCCTCCCTTCTTAGACATCGCAAACAAGCCTCAACCTCCCCCTTCCTACCTTGAGTGTCTACGTAGTTATTTCAAGCACTCAAAAAAAATAAATAGGAAGAAAATCAAAAATCTTACAAAACTTTTAGTATATTTTTAACAATGAGAATATAAATGTAAAACGGTTTGTTTCTCCCATTGAAACTGTTAAATGGTTAAGCAGTATCAGCATTTTTGGAAGCAATAATGAGCTATAATTTTTGAAGGGGATAAAGATTAAAATAGCGGTGCCGGTGGTGCAGTGGTAAGCGTGATTACTTCTCACCCCAGCCAGGCCTGGGTTCAATCCCAGTCGGCACCACCGGGATGTTCTGAGACATATCATCTCTGATCACGCCAGGGAAGTAAAGCCGTTGGTCCCCGGCTCATGAGATGATGGGTCGATAGGTAGGAGCTGCCTTCCTGGCGTCGCACAGTGGTGCCGAGGGTATCAAAATACGCTCTTTTTTATTTAACTGAAATGGTTGAGTAAAGGTACTAGATGTTTTCTGAGAAGTTTCTCGGGTTACAACACTCCTTCTTATGGTTAAACGAAATTAAAGATTAATCCTCCTAAAAGTGAGATGCAAAATTTATTTTTTCAATTTGATAAGATACAAAATAATTGTGCTGGGCAAAGCTGCAGAAAAGTTTACTGTGAACAACTTTGCTCAATAATATGACTTTCTAGCTCTTATAACTGCTGAGATATAAAGGTTATATTGTGGAGACATCGTTAAAATCAGTTTTGTATCTGTAACTTTTTCTATAGTATTTCTTCATGTTTGGCATGTTGTACAAAGGTGTTAGAAATAGAAAACTACATATCATTTCAGAAGACTGCAAATTGCTATCATTAATATTTGAAAAGTTAGTCACATTTGTCACAATTTCCAATACCAATAACTTCTTAACGGGCAAAAACGAGCGGGCCATTCTTTGAGCAATTGAAAGTACAAGAAATTGCAATGAAATGGTAAAGGAACCAGACCGCCCCCACTTGACCCTTAACCGAAATACTTGCATTGAAACTTGTCACTTTTCAGAATTTGAAATGACGATTTTGTGAAACCACGGTACTGTTATCGAGTAGGTGTGAAAAGAGGCATACAAATGGATAACCAAGCAACCTGGGTTATTTCTAGTGACTAACAAAATTACTCGGGATCAAAACCAGACCACCCCCAAACGACCCTTGACTGAATCGGTTATGTACTTTAAATATTTTTCGATTTTGTCAATAAATAATACCTACATCATTCATGTTTAATGTTTATTACGTTCCGATTCAAATTGTACGAATCTTCGTCGATATCACTGTTCTCCCGTTGTCATAATCACATTGAAAGCAGCATAGAAATAATAAATAAACGCGTATTTCTGAGTAAAGCAATGGAACTCATTAAGATCTAATATATAAAATCGTTTCATTACTGCGAGGGTACCGTGTCTATCCAAGGATATTGCAGTCAAGTATCGTAAAGGTTGATTACCGGGAATTACAAACAATTCGAAGAAGTAGGTCTTATACAAAAACACTTCCACTGACGAATTAGTCATCTATATAGTATTAGTTGATCACACCAAACTACAATGCAAAGCATTTTTATCGCATGCTATAATTGCTCAATGATCCTGTCTTTAACCTTTATGTGCCCGACCTTTTTCTATAAAAAAAACTTGATACAGCTCGCATTTTATGAAACAGGTTCCAATCGATAAGAAATTTTTTAAAGGTTGTTTTAATATTTATAATATTATAAAATTAAAATGTTTATTAAAAGTGTTGCTCATTTGACCGCAACTTATGTGGTTACATTATTTTCTTACCTCAGGAATTTTTTACACTTTTTGATAGAATCTTAGAACCGCTGAACTTACTTACCTTACCAATCAGACTAAGGCCTTGTTGTCCTCTGCTGCCTGAAGAAGTCGTCTCCCCTCATGGCCACACTTCGCCAGTCTCGTAGTCTGCGAAGGGTCCGCAGGTCGTCTTCTACTTGGTCGATCCACCTTGCCTGCTGCGCGCCTCTTCTTCTTGTTCCTGTTGGGTCGCTTTCGACCCTTTCGTCATGCGGCATTCTTACGGCGTGTCGTCCAATTTTTGCAATGTTGACGATGAATAGTTCTCCCAGTAGCTAGTGCAATTCGTGGTTCATTTGCCTCCTCCACGTTCCGTCATCCATCTGAACTCCACCGTAGATGGTACGCAACACCTTCCGTTCGAAAACACCAAGTTGGTCCTCCACGAGCATAGTCCAGGTCTCATAGTCATAGAGGACCACCGGTCTAGTCAGCGTCTTGTAGATAGTCAACTTCGTGCGGCGGCGAATTTTATTCGACCGGAGCGTCCTCCGGAGTTCAAAGTAGGCACGATTCCCTGCCATAATGCGTCTTGGATGTCCAAGTTAATTTGAAGTTCTGATCCTCATATTAACATTTTCAACAGTGGATATGTTTTAGAATGATACGTCAAGAAAAATGCTCAATATGGTTTAATGTACAAAATAAGATATAGAAGACATAATAAACTCTCCAAATCGTGCTGGAAGATTGATCTTGAAGTTCTACAAGGGTAAACAGAGTCTTTTATAATGTCCTGAAATATTATACGAATCCGAGGAGCTTTGTGAAAGCTTATCAGATCATATGTGATATAAATTGTATTTTCTACACATCTTTAGGTTCTCTTAAGTATCTAAAGCTCAAATTTGTATGTTTATTATGTTGTGATTTACTATAGGAATCCATTAAGATCGACATTATTACATATTAACAATATATTTTGGGTTCTCCCAAGCGAAGGGTTCTCCCCTTCCAAATAAAAATTTTGTTTTTCTGAGGGTATTATAGTCCGTTATTTAGACTTGAAGAATGCTTTAAGAGCTTGATAAATTCATTGAAATTCCCATGGTAGCAAAGGTGATCCACATCTTTTTGGTTCATCTTATGTTTGTAAATCTACTATTAAATAGTCAGTATTTATTAAAGCTTTTCCGTGCGTTCATCCTTCTAGTTCATATGTATTCTTGAGGATTCTACTGAGTAACTATTGAACATCAATTAGCCTATGATTGATTATAAGCAAAAAAAATTCTGTTTAATTCGATAATTTTAGGCAGTTCAAAACAACTTTCCATGAGAAATAAAACAAACACTTATATTACCACAAGATACTACGCTAACACCAGCGCATGCACAGAAGTCAATTTACCCAGATAACTCAAATAAGAAATATAGAAGGATTATTAATTTTCATTTAATTCCAATACCTTAATTGCTTATCTTTGATAGACAGATAGATAGATATTAAATTACTAATCCTTCTCTCTTTCTTTACACAGCAGTTTCAAGCCAAATAGCAAAAAAATATTTTTGACTCGACCTACCGTATGCGTGATAATGTTTGCATCATTGAGCAATGTCAAAATTAAAAAAATTCTCAAAAATTTCGTTTTCGAGCTTTTTTATTTATTCAAAGGGGGGATGTTTCTCAGAGTCTTAAACTATGTTAATCATCGATCGAGTTTCCACTTGCTACAATTACGGCCTCCACACGCTTCCGGAATGCACGGCAGGTTCTAAT